CCGCGGGAGCCACGTGCAAACACAGCGCGCGCGCAAAAGTTGTGGCGTGTAGCGATCGAGTCTCGAGGCCGTCACGAGCAACATATTCATGTTTGCAAAGGCGATGCGTCGGGACGGCGCTCGTGATGCACATAGAGAGTATAGTCAGCTGAGACACTCAGAGGCAGCGTTTCTTGCCCTTGTCCAAAAAACAAGTTTGAGCGCCTTGTGTCTCCGAGCGATTCTTAAAGTCTGGCAGCTGTTTTCCTCTATACTTTGAATCTCGACTCGTTTTTCTGCCGCGACTGGTCAGCAAAGCCCAAGATCTTCTCCCCTGACCGACGGAGCGTAGGCCCATTACTGCGCATGCCTGCCTTGGCAAACTGCAAAGCCTGCCTTCGCATCTGTCTTCACAAGCTTCTGCTTTTATGGGTTCTATACTGTTTTTGCAACAGCTGTTGCAAAGATGCCCAATGCTTCTGCTACAGTTTCGGTCTTTCAAGGCAGGGCGAGCTTCACACTATAGTTGTTGGACGCCGTGCGTTAGTAGCGCTACTACGCTTTTCATACACATCTGCTGCGGTGGCCTGCAGCGATCGTAGCCCGAACGGCAGCGCTGTCGCGACGCAAACAGCGTGCCCATGTCGTCTCAGAGAATAGTGCTTGATTGTGGAGTAGGACTTGCAAGAGGCGCAGTCTTTTTACACAAGGCAGTCGTGGCTTGTGCGGATCGAAGGCCAGCCCTCGGCGCCGTCACGGCGCACACAGGCCGCAGCACTTGTGCCTTGGTGGCGCTCGTAACTTGCGTGGTCGCAGCTTCGTCGGCGCAGTATTGGTATAAGAGCGCTGCACGCGCGCTGTTTGGCTAGCGCGCAGTTTCACGTCAATTAAGTTCATGCGTTTCTGAGACTGTAACAGAAACCAACGTTCTGACGTGTTTGCGAATGCGACGTCCGAGAAGCGCAGGCTTGCTATTCACTGTTGGGACAGCTAGACGTCGAGAAATGTCATGTCGACACTCCGCACGTGGTCACCGCGCGGTGAGCGCAATGCTGCTGCTGGCAAAGCTGTGTTTTCCTTCAATACACCTTTCACCGCTTGCGGGCCGGCAATCTGCACGTCCACCACGCCCATCTGAACGCGACGTGTGCGCAGTCTTGCGTCGCTTTTGCTTTTGATATGCTTTCCCGGCGCTGCAGTGTACAGCGTCGTTTCGCTGCGTGTGTTGTGTCTGCGGTGGCTCCCACCTGAACACGTCGTGCCACGGAGACGGCACAGTCGTCCTCGCCGCGCCCGCGCGCACGACGCACTCGTCGTCGCCGTGCCCGCGCAAGCGGGCAGCTGCGCCGCAACGGCGCATTCGTCGTCGCCGTGCCCGCGCAAGCGGGCAGCTGCGCCGCAACGGCGCATTCGTCGTCGCCGTGCCCGCGCACACGGACAGCTGCGCCGTGACAACGCAGTTGTCTGGGCTCTTTCCCGCGTATTTAGAGTTTAGAAAATTTCGGATTTCGACGCGCAGCAGCCACGTTCAACAGCATGCGTGCCTTCCGCGCAGAAGAATTGCTCGTCTTTTCCAAGAGTAGCTACGTTGACAGAAGCAGTGGAGCATCTTTCTCTTTCACATACTCCCTTCCGCAGGGCGCGTCCAGGGCCGTGCCTGGCCGCCTGCATCTTCGCTCACGCACTTTTGCGAAGCTCGCATGCTTCTTTGCGCGTTTGCTTTTGCTTTGCGCCGTTTTTCGAACTTTTCGCGTCTTTGGCGGGATGAGCGTTTTCGGACGAGACTGCTTGGCTAGCCAAGCTTGGTATTGCCCGACAAGCGATACTGCGCTACCCGTTCACGTCTTGTAGCTGTCGATCACGCCTCCAGCCCGCAGTTTGCGCGCGAGCGTCCGAAACTGCTGCAAGCGCGCGCCACAACGGAGTGCTCATTACAAGACTTCCCGAAGAGCCAAAATTGCCAACCAAAAGCTTGACGTTTAGCCGGATGAGGACAGTCCCGCAGGCAGCCAACACAGTCGCTGGCTCCTTGTATCCTTCGGGCAAGTTCTCGTCGACGTATGAGCCACAGCCAAAACCTATGAAGACGAAGTCATCAAGAGGAGTTGAAGTGCATGTCCGAACTGCACAAAACCCTCTAGAACGGTAAGGGTCCCCGAAACCGACACCGATTTTCGAGCTGGAGCTGTGGAAGTGTGCGCGCTAGAATGGTGCTACAAAGTTGCGATTTTTGGGCTAGGGCAGCTGGGAAGTTGAAGTGTGCTAGAGCTGTGCTACAAAGTTGCGAGTTTCAAGCTGGGGCTGCCGAAGTGTGCTTCGCGCACTAGACTTGCACTAGAAAGTTGCGATTTTCGAGCTGGGGCTGCCGAAGTGTGCTTCGCGTGCTAGACTCGCAATACAAAGTTGCGATTTTCGAGCTGGGGCTGCGGAAGTGTTTTCACTAAGCTTGCGCGAGCTGGAGCTGCGGAAGTGTGCTTTGCATGCTTGACCTCTACTGCATGCCAAGTTGCGATGTTCGAGCTGGAGCTGCGGGGGCGTACTTTGTGTATACTGGAGCTGTACTGGAATGCTGCGATTTTCGAGCTGGAGCACTTCGCACACTAGACTAAGAAGTTGCGACTTTCGAGCTCGCGCAGCAGCTACTTCGCGTACTAGCTTTGCACTACAAAGTAGCGACTTTCGAGCTGGAGCTGCGGAAGTGTACGTGTGCTAGACTTGACTACAAATTTGCGATGTTCGAGCAGGAGCTGCGGAAGCGCACTTCGCGTGCTAGACTTGACTACAAAGTTGCGATTTTTGAGCCGGAGCTGCGGAAGTGTACTTCGCATACTAGACTTGTGCCACAAGGTTACAGTTGCGATTTTTGAGCCGGGGCTGCCGGAGTTGTGTTTCGCGTACTAGACTCGCGCTACAAAGTTGCGATTTTCGAGCTTGAGCTGTGGAAGTGCTCTGTACTACCTGGTACTGAAATGCTGCGAAAGGGTGTGTTCAAACACTGTAGAACGATACGAACCCCCCCCAAAACCGATAGCCTGATTTTTCTACTAAGGCAAGCAAGAGGTTTCGGCAGTCGCTCCTATTTATTTATCCTCGTCCTACTTGCTGTGGACAGCTTGACAGATGTTGCGGCTGTGTACGCCTAGAACTTGAACCTTTGCCCAAGCAAAGTTTCTACTTTAAGGTGCGCACTGGGCACTCTCCCATCGCGCGCATGTTTTGCCCACATGAAGCTACAGGCACGCTCAGCACTACAGACTGAAGGCAACAGTCAGCGATGCCGCTGACAGAAAGCAGACTCGACTGTCAGCGAGCCAGTCAGGAGCGAGTCAGATACTCAGCATCATTGGGAATGCTTTGTCTTTTGTCAGAGGCAGCTGAGTGGCGAAGACGTCGGCGCCGTCACGGCGCGAAAGGTGATAGCGCCGTCACGGCGCGCGCGAAGCAAGCGTCGACTCCGGTCATAGTGACTTGCCGCTTGTAGAAGTAAGCGTGGCTGGCCGAGTTCTCGTGGTTTTCCGCGTTTCCGCGCCCAAGAGAGCCGTCGCGGCGCGAACTACGCGGCTAGCGCCGGCACGGCGAACGCGCAGCGCAGCACAGCGCAGCAGCGAGCTTTCACAGGAATCTAGCACGCGCAAACGATAGGCGGATCTTCTCGAGTCGCACAAGGCTAGGCATATGCATCTTACTGAGGCAATCCTGAATATTCATGCCGGCTCTGTCGTCGACGTGCTTGCGCGTTTCCGCAGCGACTTCGAGTAACGGCCTGCTTCCTTCTCGCCCTGGATACGATGTCGCAGAACAAAGCAAGATGGAGGCTGCGGGAGCCTGTGCGCCAATGCGCCAAAGCCTTCGCCGCAGAGCAGCAGCAAAGGCGACGCGCGCCTCGGCAATCCAAGGACGACTTCCCGCGCCGCTAATCAACGCCGCTCCACCGCTGCCAGCCCCACTGGCGAGAGCAAGGGCAGCCACATAAAAATACAAGTACGGCGGCAGCTATAGCTAAAGCAGCAACGGCAGACAGTAACAGCGACAACAAGAGCAGACAAACCAACAAGCAACAAGCAGCAGCCGCTGCTGCCGCCACCACAAGACTGCAGCAGCAGCGCCTGCAGCAAAAGCCGCAGCAGCAGCTGCAGCAGCCGCAGCGACGGCGAAGATGACGTCACAGCGACGACGACAAGAAGGAGCGGCAAAGGCGACAGCCGTGACGAAGACAGCTGCTACTGCGGCAGCCACGCCCCCAACGCCGAGCAGCGAACCAGCCAAAGCCAGCCAACCAACCAATCTACCTATCCACTCACCTGCTTTACCAAGCCGCCGCCGCCAGCTTGCCAGCCGGGCAACAAAGCACAAAAAAACATCAGAACAAAAAGAACGCCTGCCGAGCAGCGACAATGAATGGGTTCTCTACGCGCGTTATCATATACGTAGCACCCGCATCGACAGTTTTGCTGTCAACACCGCGCGCTTGAGACACCAAGCAGGACACAGCGCCCACCGGCGTGTCTTGCCCGCGACAGCGGATTTTGCAGAGATCCGGTTATTGCGGCTGTGCCTGAAGCCACGTTCTATCATGTCAAGTCCTGCTTGGCTGATGCAACGTGCGAGGGTCCTTTCAACTCGTTTCGGCATTTTTTCGGGTGCTTATATTCTGACCGCGGTAAATCCCGTCTCTCACTGCGAGACAAGCGGAAGCATGCGCGTCGCACTTTTAACTGTTGTTTAAAGAAACTCGCATGCAGTATCTCGAAGCAAGTGTCATTCGATTGAGCTGCCTGCAATCGATGTTTCGCCCATGACCCTCAGCTCAGGGCTACGCGCTAGTTTTAGCACTTGCCTGTTCCGCGAGACAAACACATTGGACAATGTCCTTTACGTTGCATAGCTGACATCGCCATTGCACTTTGCTGCCATGTTGTGCAGTTTGCTAGGTTTGTGTGTGTTGCAGTGCCCAGCAGCTGATTGCAGTGCGGTTGCCTCATAAAGGGCAATGCCTGCCAAGCGGAAGCAGGTGGGCGCCAATGGAAGTGCTTTCAAACAAGCACGCCTGATGTTTGCGCAGAAGCTACCGTCTGCGTGCAGCCCAGATGGCGTGCAGTCTAAGCCGGACAAACCAATCTGGCCACCCCCGCCTGGCCCCTTACACACATGGCTGTTGACTGTTGAGAAATGGGTGCCTCAGCTGCATGTTGCGCGCTTGCAGGGGCAGTATCTATGTGACATGTGTGCGAGCGTGCCCAGGTTAAATTATTTTTCGGTTGTCTGCTTCCAGGTGCGTGCCCGGCTGTCGGAAACCTACGACACCAAGAAGTGCAAGCCGCTGCCTATCACCGAAGAAGACGGCGGTGTAGTCGAGCCCTGGAGCGCAAGCCGCGTCAAAGAGAACGAGAGCAGCTGCGAGAAAAGATGTGAACAGAACGTCGCATGGCAGGAAGATAGAAGGACCAGAGATACAGCCGCAGAACTATGGAAGAAAAGAAGCACAGCCAGAAAGATGGTCAGAAGCGCAGAAAAGGAAGGATAGTCGCAGCCAGAGTCAGACAAAAATCACCACATACTGAGCAAGGCTCGAAGACACGCGCAAGGGCCCAAAACTACAGCGACTAGATGGAGGCAGGGACAGAAAGGCAAACAGAAGCAAAGTTCAAGAGACAAGAAGCCAGCCAAATGGAGACAAACGGAACGAGACACAAGCGAGCCTTGCCAAAAAGAGAAAGCAGCGAAGGCCAGCGACCTGAAGAAGTAACCGACGCTCGACGATGAAAACGAATGAGAGGCTAAAAACAAAGAAGACTTGGCTTGGCCTGGCTGGCTTTGCTTGTTTTTGGCTGCGCATGTGTGTCTGTCTCTGTCTACATATACGTGTATATATATATATATATGCGTGTGTCTACGGTTTCGCACGTTCACAGATTCCTTACGTCCTGCAAACTTGCTTGCTTGCTTGCTTCTAGCTTGCTTCTTGCTGGCTGACTTGCTCGTTTGCCCTAGCTTTGCGCGGCTTCGCTTGGCTATGCTTTGCGTCATTCGCTTGCTGGCTTTGCCGTTAGCTCGCCTTGCGTGGCTCCGTCTCAGCGCGTTGCCTGCTTTCCCTGGCGCTGCTACCTTTTGTTTGTGCTTCCTTTGAAGTGTCTGGCGCTTATCTCATGTTGTGCTTCTGTGTCTTTGCGTTCGTTTGCGCGTGTCTCGACCAAAGTGGCTCACACGCAAGGACCAAGTTTGCCAAGATGGCTGTCATGATCGCCACCTACGGCATCCCTGTCATCTCCAGGAGCGACTGGCGTCATTATGTTTCTGCAGGTGAGCTCAAAGGCATCCTCATGCACCGGAAGTTGCTGTCAGATAGACTGGCGATCGTCGCCCAATTCGATGCAGACGGGGTTTGTGAGACTTTTTTCAAGTCTCTGGTGCGGTGGTCCAGGGGTCAATGGACCATAATTCAGTCTGCCGAGCAGACTGCCAATGCCAGGGGGCGGCCAAAGGCCAAAGCAAAGGCCAAGGCGAAGGCAAAGGCCAAGGTTGTGCAGTTGAAAGGGCCTGCCAGCACCTCGGCCAAGGATGTGCTCTGGAATTTTTTCATGCAAGCACGGAGCCTTCACCGTGTTTGCGGGGTCGAGAACAAGCACTTACAGGCATTGCCTGCCGCCGGATCTTCAGCGTGAAAACATGAAGCAAGAGCGCAGCTAGTAAACTTGCTAAAGCACACGTTGACTGAGCATTGGTTTTCGCTTCGTGCCAGGTATGCCAGCGCTTGCCGACTTACCCTGTCTGCCGCCACTGAAAAGGGAATGCCGCCTCGCCAGCGAGCGGTGTGAGCTTCGAGGGGGCTGGGCGGGTGTTGGGCGTCAATTTCCTTAATATTTTTCGCCAGTGGTCTGTGGCCAACCCAGGTTGGTGACCAAAAACCTATTTTTTGCAAAATCCCTTAAAAATGGATGTTTTTGCAAAACCGGAATTGGAAACATCTTTAAAAATGGAATCGGAGGGAATTGGAAGACTTCAAAAGTGGAATGCGGCCTTTGATCATTAGGGCGATGGCCGCAGAAAGTTGAAGCGACCAATTCGTTGCGTGAGATCGGAGGCTTGCAACGCTTGAGCGAGCTTGCGATCGGAGCAACCGTTTTCAGAAGCAACCGGGTGAGTCGCTGTTAAAGTTGGACTTCAGAAATGGATGGTTGTCCTTTTGGCATTTCTTCAGAACCACCAAGAAGGGGCACCCTCAAAAAAAAAATGGCACGCCCAGTTGCACTGGTTCTTTGTCATTGCTTCAATTCTCTGTGCAGGCGTCCTTTTGGCCTCGCAAACCAATTCGGGACCACAGGTGGCAGCTTTCCTTTTGGCTTTCCCTCCCAAACTCTTCTCGAGTTCCCCACAATCATTCCCATATCGGTTTCTGGCACGTCAATTTGAGTAATTTTGGGTCAAACCAAGTGTGTCTCAACCCGAGGACCCCATCTTTGTTTGGCTTGCCTCTAAGCTTCCCTTCAAAGCCACCGAAAGCGGGACGTATCCTCAAAAACCCCCGACACGCCATGTTCTCTTTCCCCCGAACCTTATCCGTACACAAAAACAGGGGCCTGAAAAAAAAGCACGCAAATTTCCTTTTTGTCGCGAAGGTTTTCCGTGACCAAAAACATGGGGGGGGGGGGGGGGTCGTTTTCCGCGAGTTTGGATGGGCCATTCTTCGGGATGAATGCCGAATTCCATTTCGTGTCATTCCATTTCTTCGTGTATATTCGGGTCATACATTATTCAATTCCAGGTTTAGGGTTATTCCCTGTGTCTCTTGGGGTCATTCCATTTCCCAGGGCCCCGATTCGAGGCGCGCTGCTGGGCTGCGGCCTGGTGCCATTGAGCGCCTTTGCGCTGCACTGGCCGCCCGCTTGCTGCTGGGCCTTCCTCACCGCAGCTCGGCCGAAAGGTGGACGGGGACGGACGGGGTTCTCTTGGGGGAGGGGGGGGGAGGGAATCACCGCGCTTTTTTCAGCCTAAAAGGCCATGGGGGGCGGGTTGTTTCCACCTACATGATGAGCGGAGGCGGTCAACAAAGGGGTTTGTTCCCTTTGCCAGCTGAAGCAACGCAAGTGGAACAATTGGGGTTCCTCTGTGTTGTTTGGATGGTTTTCACTGAGGCCCTTGGAAGACCACTATGAACATATGGGTGCTCCGTACGGAATCGTAGGGACCAGAAAGGTTCAGTTCTGTGCGTCATTTCACCTCTCAAACCAGCAAGTAATTGGTGGACTGGTGTGGTGTCCCGGGGTTTCCCAGTTCTCTACATCCATATGAACCAGTGCAAATCCATATCCAAACCACCGACCCCGAAGAGCTCACTTCCCGAGTCCTTGAACCTGAAGCTTCTTGGATTCGGCCCCCAGTGGTCAACGGCCCCTAGTGGTAAACAAACAACTTTCTTTGGGGGCCATCTACTTTGGAAGGACGAGGGCTACCTCGGGAAGTAATGGTCCATTTTCCACGAACTGTCCGAGGCGCTCTTTGAGGCGTTGCAGTTCCTGAGCTCGCGGACCCTGGCGGACGCCCTGCTCAAGTGGGGCACCCAGGACGGACGGAGCGACCCAAGGGGTCCATGTTGGGATAGGTAGACGCAGGTTTCCATTTGGGCAAAAAGGCACCGAAAATCAACGAAGTGTGAGTTGTTTGTGTGTGCGGAAATCAAAGAATGGAAGCCTGCTTGGTGCATTGAGGGTCTACAGCTTTGGGAGAAGTACTTCCAGAAGTTTTGGACTGTTGCTTGCAGATTTGCAACCCCCATTTAGCCATTTTTCTTAGGGGAACCTGTTGTCTTTTCTTTTTTTGGGTGGGTGGGGGGGTGGTTTGGGTTTCATGTCAATGTGCCTTTTGGGGAGCACTTCAAAGTTTAATTTTCATTTCAACGTAAATTACAATAGTTGGCGCCAACTGCTACGAGCTCACGGATCGCCGCTAAAACGAGCACACCCATTGTCCGGTATTTGAAGGATTCCACTGATTTCCGGTGGGAGTGTTGGAAGTATTGTACCTCCTTCTTATTGGAGTGTGCTTTGAGTGGGAAACCAAAGCCAGTACTTGGGGTCACCTTGCAAGGAAAGCAGGGGGAAGCCATCATATGTAAGATTATTGGTATCTATAGGGGCACTGGCTTTCGGAGTGCTGAACACATTGCAGCTTCATGGCGTTTCGCAGCTTACATGGTGCAATCTCAGTGGGAAATGTTTAGAGACCTTTCCGTGTGGTCAGGTTCCTGAGGGAAAGAAATCCTTCGGAAGATCCCTTTTGCCAGGCGTCCGGTCGCTTTTTGCCTCACCGCCAAGTTGACATAATTCTTAAACGACACAGCCTTACATCCCAACTAATTCTTGCTGATCCCTTTTGTGTGGTTCTCGGTTTCCCGTATCACCAGGTCCTTCGTCTCCTTCCAACCACCAGTTCATTTGTTGAAACGGGTGTGTCTTTTTTGAGGGGTAACCCTTTGTTGGCTGGTCTTAAAGGAAGAAATCCATTTTGTGGGCCCAACCTTAAAGACACTTCCAGGGTCAGAACCATGCGAGGAACACCCAAAAATCCAATTTGGGGGTTCGAGGAAAACCGAAATCCAAATTTGTGGGTTCAACCCTTAAGAAAAAGACATCCAGACGAGAGATCTCACCGAGCCTTCTCCCAAAACATCCATGCGCCCACACGGGCGCAGGAGCAATCCGCTGCGGCGCTGCTGGCGGCCCTCCTGTTGAAGGCCCTGACTGTCTTGCCAGCCTGCCCCAAGAGACGGTCCCCCAGCAATTGGTGCCCTTCCTCACCCCTTTTTTATGAGAATTGTTCAACCCTACTCAAATATACTACACACAAAAAGTGTACCCTTTTTCTAAGCTCTCTACTGGAGGGCCTAGCCCAACAGACGGTCCTCTTGGTTTCCTCGAGAGAATAGGGGGCCCTTTCCAACTAGGACCAACCAAACATAAGCGGAAGCCACGCATGGAACCTTCATGGGTAAGATTGTTCAGTGCCTTTTTGGGAAATTGGTGGATTTCACTGATACTGTGGACAAACCATGGTTGAAACCGTACCGTTTGTTGGTATTTACAATAATCAACTCATTCCAGGTGTTTGAACTTGTGCGAACTGGATTTCGCAACCAAAGCGACTCGAGCTTTTGCCCTGGTTTCCCCTTGGCCCGGTTTTCGTCATGGCCCTCCAAAGATTATGGCTTTTATTTCTGGGTCCGAACTGGGCCACTGAGGTTTTCGATTGGTCAATACCAATTCCTCCGGGTTGGTGGACCCTTTGGGCTTCCCGGATTCCCTGACATACGCAAAAAGAATGAGCCAGACCGAGGACCTGTTGTTGTTTTCTTGTTTTCTCTCATGAATCGAACCAAGTTCTTTCGGATCTCCAATGGCGAGCTCCAGCGATCGGATTCGGAAGCATTCGGAAGCACGGTAGACCCAAGTTTTAAGTATTGATCAACAGAGGGACCCTGCATTGCATGCGTTTGGGGGTCCCATACTGGATCTTGAACCTGGCTCCCCATCCGGTTCCGTTGGAAACTCCAGTCGACCCACGTTAGCCACTCAAACCTTTGAGCAGCTCCGTAGTCTCTTGACCCCTGGCAAGGGAATGACAATGACCAGACGCGAGGAGTCCTAGTCGGGGAGCAACGGCCATCAGGCCACAAAGTTTCAATGTTCCTGGTGATGCTGACCACGGATATTAGTCAACGGTTAGCGGGCGTTCCGCCAAAAAAAACACGGGAAGGTTCCTCGACGAGATGAAACACCCCGCTGTTACTCAACCAGGGTCTTCATTATGGTTTATTTGTTGTGGATTCCCGTTCCTGTCGGTTGGGGGAGGACATCTTGGGGCCACCAGAATTCCCGCACACCCCGAAACCCAAGTTGCACATCTGCAGGGGAACAAATAATATTGTGCGTGGCTCGTATTTCCTGACTCTCCCGAAACCATGTTATAGTGTGTAGACCAAATACTGTGGATGGACGAAATTCTGCGCACACCTAGGAATGATGATTCCCCTGTTTCAACCATGGTTTCATTCGTGGCGCGAAGGGATTTCGCAACCATCCACCGTATGAAACAGAAAATAATGTGCATACATGTATATGTTTGGAGCACCCGTGGACTGTGGGCCAAGATGTGAGTGCGCTTTTTTCCATGGTTCACTTTGAAGTTCCAAAGAGAAGCCACACATTTCCTCCGGATGTATTGAGACAAAGCCATGCTCATAGCTGTCCTTTTGATCTGTTCGGTTTGATAAATAAATCGGGGATCCTGAAAAATGCGTGTGTGTCTTCCTCTGGCTTTTCTTTGCGCCAAGCTTTTCAAGTGACCAGTGTACCGTCTCTCTCATGGAACTGATCCTTGAGATCGGCTGAAAATCCTGCAGGGCACCTGCATCCTTTGCATCATGCACTGCCAGCAGATGGGCTTCCAGGCAAGTGGCCGGTCAAGGTGCCGAGGCTTCACCATTCTCCAAGAAAGCTGGGGATGGCTGTGGAAAGTGAGATATCCTTCTGTGAGATCAGGCGAATCCCCTACAAAATGCTAAAGTGCAACCACTTTGGTATCACAGCTGCAAGAAGAACCAGAAGCCAAGACAAAACATGGTCAGAAGCCTGGCCCACAGCAGTTGGCCCGCACCGAGGCCACGATTGGTTGCATTCCAATGGGTTCAGTTGGCGGCTTAACACATGGGGGCTGATCATCCGTTCGGCCCCCAATGACCATGGGTACATTGTCCCATGTAGGACAGGTTCCTCTTTTTCCCCACTGGACATGCCATGTAAAGGACCTTTTGATCAACCCCCATGTCAGTGAAATCCATCAATTTTCCAAAAAGATACATAAAAACCTGGCTCGTGGTGAAGGTTCCAGGCCTTCCGCTTGTGTTGGGTTGGTGAAGTATTGCACTCCTAGTTGGAAAGGGCCCCGTTTTCTCTTGAGGAAACCAAGAGGACCCCGTACTGGGGCTTTGGCTGCTCTTGACGAGTTGAGCACTCATTTTGAGCTGGTTCCCCGTTTAGACTTAGGTCATTGGACTCTGCCTCCCTTGTTGGAATCGCAAAGCCCAGCTTATTTCGTTGGGGGCCAAGGTATTTCGTATGGCTCCAAACCCGCTCCAAACTTCCGATCGAAGATAAGTTTTCCTTTTTTACCCTGGTGCCGTCGAAGTGCCAAGAAAAAAGGTCCCCTAATTTTGACACTACCATCCCCCCCCTTCCGGCTCCAATTGAGTGCTTTCCAAGATGGTGGACCCATGTTGGGGGAGTAATTCAAGGGAAACCAACAGACAACCAGCCATTTAGGGTCAACAAACCATGAGAAACACTGCAGGAAAATAGGGCGGGGCCTGGGTTTTTTGAGAAACACAAATGGAAGCGAACCAAGCCAGGCCGAGTTGTCGCGGTTTGTGGGGATCTTCATGGTGGCTACGAACCTGCGCCCCGACAAAGCGAATCTGAAGTTTGTGGGCAGGGGATTCCTTCGTTGAGGTCTCCAAGCTCGGTGGTTCCCATCAGGTTTTTGTTTTTGATGGTTTAGTGGGGGTGTCCATTTAAACCGCAAAAAGTTAAACTTCTAGCTGGACATCTGAGGACAGCCCAGCAAACCAAGACGAGGCCCTTCTGGGTTCCGTATACGACTTTAGACGCTTTTTGGGCTTGCCATTTGAGTAAACCAAAGATTCGGTTGCTTCTCTTGGACCATCCGACTGAAGCAGAATCAGAAAATGTCTGATTCTGCATGCCAGATGTGCCATTAACGAGCTCACAATGATGGTCCATTGGATCCAATTCTTGTTTAAGGTCTGGGAATGAGCGTAACATGTGCAGATGGGTTGAAAAGGATTTGCCTTTGATCTGATCCGCCTCAAGTACCCTTTGAGCTAATCGTTACATTTTCACCTTGCGTTCAAATTTGGTCCTTTGGGCACGTGAGGCGCACTCGGAGATTAAAAAGGAAGGTGTTTTTTTTTCGGGGTTCCCTTCCATTCTGAAAAGAATCGCTCAAAGCCAGATCCGTCCTTTGTGGCAAGTCTTTCTGGAAAGGATACTGGAGCAAAAAATGGGAAGTCACTCTCCAGCAAGAACCCGCTTGGAAAGCACGTGGAACATCGAGTGTCATTCGAGGTGGAGTCCCCCATATACAGATGATCCCGGATACACGCCGGTGATTCCAATAACTTATTCAGCAAACAGCAGGAGACATAAGTTACACCGCTACAAGGAAGGCGCAATGTCACCAGCCGATCAGTTTTGGGTGGCTTGTGGGGAGTGAAGTCTCATCGGTTGTTGGTGGTCTTGGTTGCATTCGGAGAATGTTCACTTCCCCAGCACGTGGACTTTACTATGTTCGGGAAGACCATTGAGTATATGTTTGAGGGTAATGTCAACCCAGGATCAATAATCCCCTCTTTGTTAATATGGGGGGGGGGGGGGGAAAGACGGACCCATATTTGAACAAAAAGAGAGAACCCCCAGTTACCTGCCATGGCAGCTTCTCCCATGGCATCAATTCCCATTGGGTGGGAATATCGGTTGGGTGGTAGCAATCGAAGAACCTACTCTTGGTGGTAGCATAACCAGTGGTTGTGGATGTACAAACTCCACAAACCGAACCTTTTTGAACGCCCCCTCTGAATGGTACAAACCACCTGCCAACTGCTGCGATTGGTGGATTTTGCTAATATGCATGGTATGGTGGTGGCATAATATCCTACGGCACCAAAGGTTTCAAGGAATGCCCTTAAAGAACTCCCCTGAAAGGAAACCACCACTGGCATTCTTCAATTCGGGGTCATTCCGACTCATCAATAGAATATGTGAGAACCAGCAACCTCAAACTTACTGGATGTGCATCAAAATGGGTGGGCCGAACAAATGGGGTAATGCTTTTGGTTCCCTTTCAAACAACTTTAAAAAGGTGCACGGGCGAACCTACTCTTGGTGGTAGCATAACCAACACTCGGCAGCAAAAAACAGTGCTTCCATTGGGAAACCGTCCTAAGGCTGACGGTGGTGTTGAGCCTTGCCTTCTTTGGTGACCAGGCGCTTCTTTCGGATGGCGCGCCGAGCTGGCGGAGCCTTCTTTCAACGTTTCAACTAGTTTGGGTTGGGGTACCGCCAAGGGAAACCAAAGGAAAAACCGACATGGTTGGGGTCCCCAAATAATCAGGCAACCCTTGGTTGGTGGTTTGGATTGGTAGTTTGGAGGTTCGAACTCCTGGTTCTTGTAGAAAGTAAAAACTCCACAACTTCCCAGTCAATTCAAACCCACCATAAAAAGAGAGAAGACGATTCTGTGGGGGCAGTTCTCCTCGCGTATTGCCTGGGCCAAAGAACGCTTCAACTTGTGGGGAAGACTTTAAGACTTTGTGTGGTTTTGAACGGAGGAAGATCGCACATCACCGAAGGCCAACCCAAATGGCTTCGCAGAGGCTTGTTTCAGCTGAGCTCAACGTTCAGCTTTTTTTCACATATGTTAAGAGTTGTTCACCCGGCTTCTTTCGGTGGGTGTCTTATCAAATCTAGCAGCTTCACACTTTCGATGTTTTCAAGCATACCCTGTTGTCCGTTTGGATTCTTCACATTCGTGAGGCTCGCCCCCACGTGAGCGCGCTTCAACTCGTACTAGGGCCGCGGGTGGGAGAACGTGTTGACAACTCGCACTGCCCTTCCTTCACTTCGCTAGTTGACATCGTTGTTGGCGGTTGATTGGGTGAGGAACCCCCCGACAAATGGCAGCAGTGTCCAGTAAAGCCTGCTGGTGTGCCGGGCGCCGAGCCTCACACCATGTTAAGAGGGCTGCCAAGAACACAGTTTGCTAACCTACGAAGGATCCAGGGTCCCCAGTTTCCCAAGGCAAGTTTACAGATCATTTGTTGCAGGATTTGTTTTCTTTTGGGGTGATGTAGGGGTATGGCGTTGCCTTCAGGGTACCGTTTTGGGGTCGGTTTCAAGCAAACCAAACTTGGAACCCAGCCGTTTCCGGGTGTTGCTGTTGTGAGGTGGAGGCGTCCTGGTCGTTTCTGAGCTCCGCGACCTCTACGCTGGTGGGCATTTGGCTGCTGAACTGCTGCTCGAAGCAAAAAAACGCGTTGATTTTTTGAAGGTGCCCTAGGTCTCTGCTGCTATTGGGTGGGATCTTAAACTTTCACTTTTTGGATTCCCCTGATATTTCCTTTTCACCAGCAAGAAGTTAAACGTCCCCAAAATAGATCATGCCCTGTCCAGGGGAATCCCTGGCGGTTTTCTCTCAACAAAATCCCACCATTTTCCGGCAAGGAACATGGCCACACCCGCTTCTGTCAAACTACCACACCCACTTCGCTGCTTTAGTCTTCCCCAAATCGATGTGCTTGGGGAGCGGTGTGTTCGTCTGTGTCAACGTAGGGGGACCCCCCAAAACGGGTGATTCTCCTTTCGCTTTCCCCCAAACTGAAAAGGGAACCCTCCAACACACACGCAAAAAAACACCTTTTTCGGGCGTCTCACACTTGTGGTCCCATCTGGATTTCCCTTCACCTGTGAAGTGGCATCTAATTTCCTTGAGAGCCTCGGGTGTTCACTGCAGCTGGATGAAACTCACTGGTGCATTCGGGGCTTGATTTGGAGCTAGAATCAGCTTTCTCAGGAAAAGGAAGGGTTTTGGAAATGAACCCAGCGATCCCTTAAAGGAAACAAGGAATGAGCTCATGGGGTTGATCAATCCGTTAAAGTCCCCCAAATGACCATGGGTAACTTTTGCCATGTGGGAAATGTCGTCCTTTCTGGTGGTTTTCCAACCAATGGCCATCCCATGTATTTCGGACCTTTTGATCAACCCCCATTTGAGTCACAATCAAAATCCGGGTAAATGAAGCTTAAGGGGCAATCCCAGCCATAAACGGTTGCGGATATCCGCCTTTTCAATTCCTTACATGTTTCTGGGTTCACCATTTTTGTACCAGGTAACGATCATAACTCGTTTGGGACTGGACACTTTCATCCAATCGAGTGTGAACTGAGGCCCTCTGACTTTGAAGAGGGACTCGGAGAGGGGCCCGGACACGCCGGAGTGAGGCCGGGACAGAGAGGGTAGGCGTGGACCTCTTGATTTGTTTGGGGATGGGTTTGCGAGGTGCGGAAAGCGGATTTTCTCGTGAAGATGTTGGCAACAGGCAAAGCCCGGCGCATGGCAGACATGTGCCAGTGCCGAGCTATCTCTTGTCCATGGTCAAAACGGGGTGGTCATGTTCAAAGGGAGTCTCTCGTTTTCCAGAGAACAAGGTCAAGTTGGTGCTTGTTTTGTCCGCAGTGAAAGACTCATTTGTAGGGTACCCCTAGCAAAATTGAGCGAAACTTGTTCAAACAACCAGCCCCACTTCACAGGGAAACCGAAATCAGGTTGTTTTAAACCATAGTGGTTTACTGGAACATAAAGCCCAAAACGCCACACAGGAACCCGGGCCCTACTATCCTTAAAACTGTTGGACTTCACCCCATTTGTGGGGCTATTTTGTCCAAAGCCAACCTCTTGACCTTTTGGGTTTTCCCATGTTGGGTTCCCATTTTTAGTAGAGGTGCCACAAGGTGATCACCTTTTAGTTCTGGGTCCAGGGCTTCGAGCCCTCGAGGTCGCTGGAAGCCGCCTCGACTCCCAGCGGTGAGCGCCAGTCCTGCGGGAACAAAAAGACGCGCCAGTGGTGCCGTGGTTGGCGGGGAAAACCAGTTTGACGGGTTCTATGAAATGGCTGGCTCGGTTTATTATTATTATTGTTATTATTATTATTATTTGTTTTTGCGGGGGACACCCCAAAATGGGTGCGGCTTTGTGTTGGTGTCTTTGAAGCCACCCAAAAAGGGTTCCAGCGTGCCCCAAGTTGGAAAAAAGGAAAGCCAATCAAACAAGGAATCCGGCCAACTAACCCCTGATAGAAATTTAGTCACAATCCATCCGTACCAATCCCAGGTATTGTCAGGGGCTAAATCATTGCATTGGTAGTCCCCCAGAATCATGATTGCAACGGCAACTGGGAATGTGAGCAAGGGGATCCCAAAGCCGATACCTGACCTATCAACTCGCATATCAATCGAACAACACCCAAACTCGACACCCCAGCGATATTGTTTGCTGCCCCTACGTGCGTGACATTGTCAACAATAGGCGTCCTCCCCTTTTGGGGCAGGACTCCAGGACAGACGTGAAAGTTCCATCGTAGAGTTGACAACCTGACAAATAACGTTCCGCACCACCTAAGAAACCCTGGAAGTATTCGATTCCCCCGTAAAAACCAACAAATAATTTCAAAGTGGTGCAAGATTTCGTCCATCCACAGTATGGTCAAAGTTCGGAAGTGTTTATCTCACTGGCGCATCTCAACATGCCCGTGTTCTTGGGGGCACATCTTTGTGGGATCAAAAAAGAGCACTCCGCCCAGAGCCCATTTCATGTTAGTCCAGCAAACGCAGAAGGGGAGAGAGAAGCCGTCATTCTCCGGCCCTTTGCATGGATTTGCAAGCTAAGGGAACCCCGGGTGGCTTCCTCAAGGCGTCCGGATTACAACTATGAGTAGAGAGGTCGAGCCACTTGCGCTAGGTGACCATTGGTCATGTGACGCTCAAGGTTAGAGGCTGTCACGGACTCCCTTTCTTTCTCTTCAGGCTTTACCCTGTATTCAACACCCAGCGCGGTTCCCTTCCCCCCGGTGCCAAGGATATCCGCCGGTCACCGAACGCCTCATGAGTCAAAGTAGGAGAAACAAACAAGAGGGGTTTGCCTGTTGGTTTCTCTTTATGCCACCTGAAAAGGGTACCCTATAGACAAACACGAATAAACGCACACACACACACACACACACGGAGACACACACGCACGCGCACTCAAGCAGTGGACTGTAAGTGCTGACATGATTAGATATTGGGGTCGTGGGGTGCTTTACCGGGAGATGAAGTCATCATCATAGGAGTGTAGTAGTTTAGGTTGAAGCCTGCTTCCACGCACCGACAGTGGATGATGAACATTTGGATCTGCCACTTTATTCTGGTGTTTGTTGGTAAGGCCCTGCTATTTAGCCAGGCGCCCATAGGTGGGTGTTTTAGGGGAGTCCCCCGTGTTTTCGGTCGGCTTTAACTGGGCAAAAGGGGCCACCTTTTGACATGACCAGGTCACAAAACATGCGACAGGACAGCAGCTGCCTATGCCGTGAACTTGGCAGCGCCTCTGCCAAAGTTCGCCGAGGCGATGGGAAGGATCAAGCCGGCCGAGCCGAGCCGAGCCCAGACACCCAGTAAAGAAATTGATCTTGAAGGTACGAATCCTCCCGCGGGGCTGGGAGGAAACGTACCAAAAAAAGAGAGAGTGATCGCTTTGTTTCCTTTTGGCAGGGTGTTTCAAATCAACTACAAAAAAACGAGTGCCGAAGCATTTTCCCATGGACATCCCCAGGTTTTGGAATCGGTCCCCTTTAAGCATCCAACCCCAAAAGACTACGAATGTGGATCCAGGAGATGAGCGTAAACCGCAGGATCCTCCAAAGGGTAGCCAGATTTGGGCCAAGTAGCCGACAAGCGTGGATAGCCAGAATCAAAACTTGGATAGATGAAGGTCGATTAGTAGGTAGTGCGGATATCCACCCTTTGTTCTTTACATGGCTTTGGGACCAGTCAAACAACAAGCTTTGATTTGGCTCGAATGCACCCACAAGGAGAGCTACGCGGAGGGGGGGGCTATCACCTATTGAACCCCCCGTAGGCCTTATTCGGAGCTTATCCTAGGCTTCCCAGGGATTGCACCATAGGCCCCTTCCATGAAAATTCAGAAATCCATGGAACTGCCAAGGACACCAACCAGAAATGGGTGAATCGTTTTGAGATGGTACCCCTTTTTGTGGGTTTGAAGGAGGGCCCAAAGGAAAAGCACCATTTTGGGCCCCAAACAAAGCATTATATATATATATATATGTATTATTATTTTATATGTATGTATATATTAGACCCGTGAGAAGGGAAGAGGAGTGTGCGTGCGTGTGTGAGATTTGTGCGCATGAGCGCTTCCCCGGGTCCCCGGCTATGTCTCTTGTTTAGTTGGCACTCATCCGTTCCTGTCGTGTTTTGAAGGCAAACCAAACCTAGTGCGTCCAGTCGCCATAGCTAAGGGAAGCCATTCTGCGACCCAAAGCCGAGTTGTAGCTGGAAGGATGGTACCAATAGAATCACTTAGTTGACGTCACGGGCATCGGAATCACGAATACAATTACTCCCCTACAAATTGACATGAAACCCAAAAAAGGGTCCCCCCCCCCCCCGGCAAAAAAACCAAAAAAAACAGCCAACCAAACCTACGGAAGCAACCCCAACAAACCAAGCACCAAGCCAAACATCCAATTACCAAAACCAACAGCCAAAACCAACCTATACCAAACCACCCACACCACCCACACCAAACCAACCAAACCAACCTACCAAGCAACCCCAAAGCCCCGAACCAGGGGCCATCCCAACCAATTTCCCGAAACGCCCCGCGCCCCGCGCGCCAGGCGTCGCCGGAGGTCTTCAAGGCCCTGGCGCGAGTCCTCAGCGGGGCGAAGCCCAAGAAACGGGCCCCGGCCCCGGGCGCTCGGTCGCTCGGTGCCTCGTTGTCCCGTTTCCGAAGCGAGAGACGCGTCCATGGGACCCCAAACGCCTGCCCTGTTGGCCATGGACACTTTGTGGCTACTTGGTCAGATCTTTGGAGTTTTTTCACTTTTTGGCCGAAGCAGTTGGAGATTTTCCGGCTCGGAGCCACAAACAGGGAAAAACCGGCTTGCAGACGGGGCGACCAACCGACCGATTGCTCCCATTGCTCCCCAAGCGACCGGTCGATCGATGGATCGACTGTCAGGAAGAGAAGGCCAGGATCGCCTTGGACAACGCCGCGGCTTGGAAGTGGATGTGGCTCCGAGTTGGGTCTCCGCCAAGGGCTCCCAGCATGGTTGTTGGGAAACATTTTACTTTTTTTTATTGTGGTTTAGTGGGAAATCCTCACTTGACTGCTAAAATTTAAATGTTTGCTCCCCTTTCAACGTCAACCAAGCAAGTATCTTGTTAAAGGGTTGGCCAAGTAGGAAACTTCTTTTGGGGGGGCAAGGGGGTGGGGCATTGTGGCAAGTTGATTTGAAGTTGCCGGTTGCTGTGAGTACCAAGAAGCCCCCCAAGCAGCAAAGTGGTCAAACCGGTCCAAATTGAAAGCGATTCCAGTAATGGATTCGGAGGGGTACCTGTTCTGGGATCTCCTTGGAATTGTTTTGCATTTGCTTTTTGACCTGAGATATTTTCAGGGTTGAACTTGAGAAAGGGGCACGGTCCCTCTCCCTCCAAGGGTGTCAGGAGGCGAATGGAAGATCACCCACATTTAGCCATTCCTATGGCTAAAGGTGTGGTGTTGGTGAGGACCGCGATTAGCACGAAGCACGATTCGGGTCTGGGGGGGGGGGGGGGGTTGGGGCATGAGTCAGTGTGGTTGTGTTGCGTTGTTTCCTCCGACTTTCGCTTTTAGTTGGTGGTTTGGAAAGTGTCGCGGGTCAAGCAATATAAAGAAGGCCCCAAACAGAAGCTATCAGACACCCACAGACCGGCGTGTTTATTTTTTGCCAATAGAACGATCTTGGATGATGTTCACGCAACCCCAAAAAAGGCGAACGGGGGTCCTGCCATATCCCGCTGCTGTCGTAAGCAGCTTTTCACCATGCCAATCTCTTGTACTTAGGACTCCGTTCTATTCCCCTTGGTTAGTGGTTCCCCGGGCCATGTAACCCACCAAGAGTCAAACTGTTTGCAGGGGACCTGAGAACACCCCAGCTGTGTTGCGAAGCCATCTGAAAGAGCGAGAAGCAAGACAGCACTGGTGTGTGTGTGTGTTCATACGAGAATGGGATTGCTTATCAAGGTTGAGTCCGTCGGCAACGACTGTGGTTCAACCACCAAAGAGTTGGCCTAAGCGGAAACTGGATGAGGATGTACTGTACACATTTTATCTATAATATATATATATACACACACATACAGATTATATATATATATATATGTGTGTACCCACCCTGAA